AGCAGCAGCAGCAGCAGGAGAAGTAGTAGTAGTAGTAGTAGTAGTAGTAGTAGTAGTACCACCGTCATCGTCGTTCTGGTACTGGTGCTGTATCTGAGAATGCTAGACTTAAAGTGAGTTTGGCGAAAACGAGCCCGCGTCTGCTACATGTGACATCATCACTGGAACGCCGCATCTCCGTTCGGCCGGCAGCAGTTGCGTCTGACGGACAGTGACAGACCTAAAGATTCAGTATCTGCGCTTCAATTTTCCGCAGCGGATGGCAGCCGCGATGCAGCAGCAGGCACTCTTGGCCACTGGTAACTGGCACTGGCCCCTTGCTAAATACGCTTGCTGCTGAACTCAGGCTTTTGGCTTTAAACCCTGAGGATCGCCGACTGTTCTTGCTACATTGCTCGACGCGAAGGCCTGCTGATTCTTAATACTGTTAGTTTCCTGGGCTTCAATAGCCGGTTCAAGGAGACTGCTGCCAGCCGCCTATACCTCAAACCACAGTCCTATATCAACCTTGCTGGCAGGCACGTCTTCAGAGTCGTCACTCGGACGACTCAGCCTGGCCCTCGCTGGCTCGCAGCGGGCGTCATTTCCGGATGTCTAAGTTTAATGGTCTGGGTCGACGGGGGCAGAAGCAAGATGCTTGCTTACTTAGTACTATTGACCGGGGATCGAAAGCTTTTGCTAAGCCTTAACACCAGAGCACGGTCCGTAACTTGTAATCCTACACTTAGACTCGAAGAAGTTCTGCAGATGTTGATAGGATTGTCTAACCCAACAAAACTAAGATTAGATAGGCCAAGCCTGAGCAACACCACGAAAACAAATATCAGCGAATGATGGCCACCTAATTACTAAGCCTAGGGATTCATACACCATTTTGATTATCGTACCCTGACTCAGGGCGAATTGCTGATCACAACCTTCAATGAATTATCTAAAGCCTCATAAATAACTACAGCCTTCAATCCCGACATCCTATTATGAGAATTCCGAGGCACCCGAACCCTATAACCCAAACCACCCAGGTCGCGCAAGCCGCGTCCAAGCTCGTCATTGCGGCGATGCCGGGCTGGCCTGATATTGGCTGGCTTGGGGTTCAAGTTCTCGGATGTCGGAGTTCATTGTACCTTTGTTCTTTGAGGGATGTGCAATCTAACTTCGACTTCAGGAGGCCTCAAGCTCAAGTCTAAGGCTAGGCTACACGGAAGGCTATGATGGCAACTTTCGTCGAATGATGCAAATTGCAGACTGGCTACCTTGTATCATTTCGTTTAAGATGCAGAGGTGCAGTGGCTGCCCAACCGAAGCAGCATTTTGCAGCAGTCAAGCTATAGGTTCAGAACTGTGATAGAGCCCATTGACAATGCCGAGATCCTAGTCTTAGTACAGGCTACAGATACAATTTAGACATTGATTGAAGGTTTGCAACAATCGGCGACCTATACTTAGAGTCCTGCTTATGATGGCCGGGCTACCAGAGTCAGGATGAGTCAGGTGGTTCGGAAAATCGACGATCTGAGTGACTCGGATTCCGATGCTGCCCAAGCAAAGGCACGCAGAGTCCAAGGAGGCAATGCCAGCAGTTCTAGCACTGCTGCAAAAACAAGCAACTAGGATTGATTGACGATCTAGTTGTGGGGTGGTTTAGACTTAGAGGGAGATTTTCACAAGACTAATAGCTAATCTTGTCAACTGGCTTGGGGTGTATGAACCCAAACTCTATTACGAACACGTCCATTTCGAGAGCAGCTTTGAGGTTCAGGACGTGTTAGGCTTCTAAGACAAACGACTTCCTACCCTACCCCTACCCTACCTACTACCCGACCCGACCCTACCCTACCCTACCCCCACCCTAGCCTTATACCCTGCCCACCCTCCCCTACCCTACCCGACCCACCCTTCCCGACCCTACCCACCTGCCGTACCCCTACCCTACCCTGATGATACGCCCGCCCAAGGCAAGTGCCAGACCAAGACGAAGCCCCAGATTTCATCGGAAAGCCTGTCTGAGAGGCTGGCAAAACAGTGTGATTGCCACCAGCGCCGCCTGAAAAGCGGGTCCAGCAATGGCACATGCTTCGCGCCCTTCCTCTCGGATAAGACTTTGTTTGCGAAACTCCTCAAATATGTGCAAGACTTTCAAAGCCTGGGAAAGCTGGAACAAGATCAGTTCGCTACTTGGCTAGTGCTCAGCATCATCAAGAATGACTTGAACCTGGGAGTTGAGGGTCTGAACGCTTGGGACACTACTGTAATTTTGTAGATCGGCTACTCATCTTAGACCGACTAGAACCTGTTGGTCAACCCAGCCCAGGTGTTTCACCGACTTCGAGACCTTGCCAACCAGCAAGGCATAGTGCCATCCGCCGAAACTAACACTAACATTAGATAGCGAGGATTGTGTGACATGATAGACTCCGCCTACTAAGCTACCCGGTTGATACAGCGAGATGGTCACCGTCTTGCCTGCTTGAGTTCTTCACTTCAATGCACAATAAGAACCCCGTGTCATGCACAGCTAGATGTTAAGCTCCTGGTTTTGCAATCAGAAAGGCTATACCATGAAGTCGCTGAAGAGTTGCCGGAGAACGATGAAGCCGAAGACTCGGACGTTGGAGGAGACCGAAATGAAGACGATGATGAAGATCAGATGGTTTTTATTAGATCGGATTCTGGAAAATCTGAAGCATGTATGACTGCCGGTCACAGTGGTTCGAGAAAGCGGTATCTGCCGCCCGGAAGCATGCACGACCAGTTTCAGCAGTTTTTGGCAACTGGACACGGCACCTGCTCCTGGTATGTTTTCTGGTCTACCTGGAAAAAGAATTTTCCGAATCTCGTCTTCAGGGGCAAGCGGAAGCACGCAATTTGCTCCACGTGCACTAGACACCGACTGTTGATCTCCTGTCTAGATAGTGAAGCCGCCAAAGCACGCCAAAGGCTACTCTACGAGCGGCACTTATCGGACCAGTATAAAGACAGAGAAATCTATTGGCAAGCACGCTCGCAGTCCCGACGGCGGGAGGCAACAGACCTCATTTCTGTCATCTGCGACTCCATAGATCAGGCAAAGTTTATGTGGCCCAGGGCCAAATTTCTGCTGTCCAAACAATTCGACAGCTTCCACCGTCCGAGGCTTCATGTAACAGCATGTCTGGCCCACGCTACCTGGCAAACTTGTTCATCAGCCACAGCGATGTGCGGCAGTGCGGCTCTACTACTGTCGAGATACTGGCCCACACACTATCACAAATCAAGGAGCAGGGTGTCGACATCGCGAAGAAGAACATTCATGTGCAACTAGACAACGCTTCCTCAACCAACAAGAACGGCACAGTGTTTGCTTTCATGGGAGCTTGCACCCAGCTTGGCATAGTGAAATCGTTCACGGCTTCGTTTCTTCGCGTGGGACATACCCATGAAGATACCCTGCAACTTTTGGCCTGACTGTTTGAGAAACTAACAGTACACATCGAGTATAACATTATTAGGGTTTCATGCTAGTGAGCCGCCCTCTTGGCCAGGATGTCGATGGCTTCTTCAGCGAATTGACGACACATGTCCGCAAGAAGCTGCATTGGGCCGACAGTTTCGACACCTTCCGAAAGGCCTTACAAGATTTCCTGGACATAGGAACGCGACGACATGAGCCACTTCGCGAGGCAAAGGTCATCGATCAGCAACGGAATTGGCGTGACTACCTGGGCTTTATGTGTCGTCAGTTGCAGGGACACACCGGTCCCGCAGCCCCTCGTGTGTTTCAGTTTCAGCGGCGTTCAGGCCAGGGGTTTAACTGTGATCTGATTGGCCATCGAATGAGTTACTAGTACTAGACTTAGATTGACTCCTGGTCTGCTACATAACAAAACGCCGGTAGCGAAGCCCAACATTAACATAGACCCATTGCTTTTACTGCAAGGCCTCCCCGAGTCGCATCCTCTGCGCCACGCCGGCGATCGCAATGACGTGATCCTCAGGCAGGTGGTCCAATGGGGACTATTTTCCAAACTTTGGGCTTAAGGTTCAGCGGTTGAGGGCTGACGGCTCTTTTGGCGAATTGCCTCTCAGCTCGTTCAATGTGCATCCACCTTTGAAAGGTTGATGGTGTGCCGCTTTAAACGAATGGGTTTACGTTAGCAACTCGAAATTTCAATAGTAGGCGGACGGCTAGACTAGACTTAGAGGGTTTATGATTTTGGGGCAGGGTGCATTCTGTCTAACTACGTTAGTTGTCGAACCATTTCTAGCAGACTCACCCCAAACAAAACATTCTGACACTATGTAAACCAGAAGACTAGCAATGTTTGTTGTTATGGAACTATCTCAGTCCGAGCCGAATCTTAAAACCCATCCTCGCCTACAACTACCGAACGGTCCAGTCCTCGAAGGTGCAAGCAGTACATGGCAGACACTACTTTCCAGCAGAGTTTGGAATTTATCACGGCTGAACACATCAAAGCCCTGCCATCTGCATTGCCAGCCAGTCCCGCAACTACTTGTATTTAGTGTTAGGGTTCAGGGTTGTTTAGGATTTAGGGTTTTGGGCTACTCATTGCTGTTTGACATCGACCTGAGGTTGTATGGACAGGGTTCCCAAAACCAAGAAGTACGAGACCATGATCTTGAAGTTCGCAGATGTGCTCAGCACAGCAGAGTTTCAGATGAGAAAAGCTGGCCAAGAACTGCGGGCTTGGGTTACAGAGTCACGTGAACAGATGCCTCCACTGGAAGTCCGTCATTGTGCTTTCTTCCCCCGGCACCCAAGTCTGCATTCCACGGAGCCGTTGCTGCCATTGCAGGCATCAGATACAGCCGAAGACCTCAAGGACGCTCCCAAGCAAACCGTGGGTCTGGAGCCCGCCATGTCCACTCTGAGAATCAGCAAAACCAAGTTTTCAGTGCCAAAGGCAACAAGAAGGAAACGCGAGGAGGAGGCCAGGACTGCTCAGGCCGAAACGGAGGCCAGCTTCAAGTCCACAATGGTGGGTTTTTTGATGAAAGAGCAGGACTTTGACTTGGCCCAGGCATCTCAAGTTGCCAGTGTGGCATGGCAGAGGAAGCTCGCGACCGAGAAAAAGCCCAAGGCTAAGGCGAAGCGACCTTCGGCTCCGGAGGCTGCGCCTTAAACTATTGGCAAACACTTTTAATTTATCGAAAAACCAGTTAGGATAGAAAGTACGTGGACAGCATGTCTGGCACGTCTCATTCCAAGGACCAGGGCAGCGACCATGAGCCCGTGCCTCTAGATGTTGAGCCCCGCGGAGTTTTGGGCTGATTTAGACGGTTCAGCACAGACCGTTCCCTTAAAGGGAAGTTTGCATCCCTGTGAAAGAAAGAGTAAGGTCAAAGGTCGTGTCTGGCTGATGATGATTTATTACACATCGTATACTCAAAACCCTCAACCTCAAACCTAAACCCGCAACAATGGAACCCTGAAACAAGCGGAAAGTCAAGATCGTCAAGGGGTCACAACGGATGAATGACAAGTCGCACCTCAACGCCGCCAATCCCTTGGAACCCGACCTAAACACAAGCCCTACAACTTGGAGACGGGGCTACAGGGTTTGGGTGGGATGTTCTGCGGCTTTGTGTACAGTAGCTTTCTTTGATCATAAGGTTGGTGGTAAGCTTTGAGGGTTCAGGGGCTCAGGATTTTAGGGGGCTAAGGGTCTTAGGGTGCTGGTGTTAATTACCTTCCTGCTGGAGATTGGCATGTGAAGTTACACGCCCCGCGAACTTTCAGTATGCTCTAACCAATATTTAGAGGACAGGTGCCACTATCGTCACTGTCATGTCTTGCTGTACGGACCTGGACCAATGCTTAGCAATTTTGCTCAAACCGGCCCGTCATGGAGGAACAAATTATTTATCGGAAACTACGTGCCAGCGGGGCACCGCGTCGCTTCAGCAGGCAACTGCTGACCATGTGGGTACGGGGCTTCCAAGACCAAGGAGTGAACCTCGGCTCCATCGGAAGATGTTCATGTATAATAATATTTGGTTCACATGATTTATGTTAATGTGTGCTTCGATTTAAGCTGATTTAAGGGACAGGGAACCGACCCTCCTCGACTACCTGGAGTTCAAGATGTATTTCTTGGAGGTCGAATTGGAAAGCCTCGGATCAGAGCTGGCCATTTATTCCAAAAAGAAGGAGCTGGAATGGCTTCGGCGTATCCTTCTGTCCTAATTCAATTTGTAATTCACCAGACTCCAAGAGAGAAGACCTGGTCTGCTGTCGACGTGTCATGATACATTAGACGAGCAGCTGGGGAGGTGATGAAACATGCCGCATACAAACATGACCCGCGATTAAGATCGGAGGTACGAAGCCAAAGATTAAATCCGAGCTTTGGGCCTGGTCATTCACAACCCTCTAGCCGTACCCTTCTTTCCTAAACCCTACTGGTCCCGCGAACCTTAAAGGAACCCTTTAAGCTATAGCTGCATGGCACACCCTCTTTAACACTCCATAAAGTATGTCTCTACAAACCATGTTCAAGGCCCTCTTGTCAGACCCCAAACCCAAAGAAAGATCCGAAAAAAATCTGTTCAAGCAGGATCCTGACGAAATAGATAGAGTTGGCCGCAGTAGTTTTCAGCCCCCAACTTTTTGGAGCTTGTCATTCTAGTTTCGGGACTCAGACTAACCACAATCATAAACAGTCATAGCCCCGCAAAAAACATTCATCGCAAAACCGTCAATACACATACAACAATGCCCTCGAATGCCTATCAAAGGCCTGAAACCCAAACCTACAAACATGAACCCTGAACTCTTTACAACCTCCATCCTTCATACCTATTTCATATCGGCGCTTTCAAGCCGTAATTTACTTAGCCGGGACTGCTACAGGTGCCGCGTGGTTTTCCGTAGCCGTAGTCTAGTCTGTGTGTTACGTTAAAGGTACTTCCACCCGAAGCACTAATCATCAAAAAAACAAAAGCAGTCGACACCAAGCATCACTTCGAGCCCACATCGCCCATCCTATTATGTCTCCCTCATCCCAAGTCCTTGAAACCATTCCCGTTAACGCAGTAAACCTTGACCACACACCGTGCCAGGCTGGGGCAGTCGCCAACCCGACGCGAAGGATCGTGGGCCTCAATTGTGCAAGGGATTTCGGCTTAAAGAGTCTAGTACTAGGTGCTAGGATTGAAGGATCAGGACAGGGAGTTTTTCAGGTTGGGGTTACGGCTTGTGTTTTGAAGGTTCGCCTAAATGATAAGGAAACCGGGTATCATTATTTTGCTACCCCTAAACCAGAACAAGGAACCCCAAGCAAATACAAAGAAGGGGTCATAACCTTAAGGACCGAAAGATCCATCCAAATTATGGCGTTTAAATTAGACCGTGTATATATATTGCAAATCCTCCGGACGCTATACCATAAGCCCTTCATGGAATCCCAAAAAAAACAGTAAAGCTTTGATTGGACTTGAGGTTGGATTAAAACGGCGAGAACCGTGTGGATGGGCATTGCTGAACTCCTTCCCACTAATCTGGTGTGTCTGAGCAGCATGAAATGACAGTGGCGATGAATTATGCGCATCACTTCCGCAACCAAGCCTGGCTCTAATTCAAGTTGAGAGAGATAGGCTGTCTCACGCTGGTTGATACTAACACCATGCTCCTTGATCGCCATGAAAGCCTGACCGACAGCGAGGTCGAACCCGAGGTCCCCGCTCGTCGTCCGTCCACCCCGAAGAATCCGAAGCCTTCTGGCGGGGTTTGTGCAGCAGAATTCTTTGCGGGCAGTGCAAGATTGTCTTCGGCTTTGATGGCAGTTGGCGTGCCATGCGAAAGCTTCGACTTGAAACTGTCTATGCAGCACGACTTTAGCAGTGCGGGGAAGGTGAAGTCCATGTTGCAGAAAGTCGTCGGTTGCAGCATTTCCTATGCACACTTTGCACCACCGTGCAATTCCTACAGTATTGCCCGCTGGCCGAAGCTGAGGTGAGGAACAAAACATAATCATCACTGTCATGGCACTCTATCAGTTCTTGATTCTAGGTCTGCATCATCGTAGGCATGAACACATCAAATTGAAGCCTGGAGGTCCAAGGACTACCCGGAAGGACTTCCAGCCTCGAAGTCCAAGAAGCCGCAAACCCGTCATCAGCAAGCAGAACTTCGCCTGGCCAACCGCATTGTGAACAATACGGCTGATATGATGGACGACCTGATGACCCGTGGAGTCCCATGCAGCCTCGAGAACCCGAACAGTTCTTTGCCCCTGGGCCAGTTGAGCCTCGACCCTACACTAAATTAAACCGTACTGCAATCCTCAACCCTCAACCCAAAAAGTTAAAGGTAAACCATAAACGCTAAAATACTAAACCGAAAGCCCCAGACTCTGAACCCGATTCCCGAAGCCAGCGTCTGTGTGCACATGCGCGTAAATAAAGAAGAACGTGTAGAGAAAAAATAAATATATATATATATATATATCATATAATATATATATATATATATGTATATATATAATATGCATACATTCAAACATATACATAAGTTCCTTGGTGTGGGAGAACCTGTCTGTGAGTCTTTTGCCAGCTCGTTCTAATCCAAGTGCAACGGTTATTACCACAACAAACCTTGTAGTGGATGTCTTATGTGCTGAGGAGCTTTGTAGCTAGCCCTGTGCCTTGTACCATCAACATACTACTGAATTCGGCACTTCAGAAGTACCCCTAGGAATTCCAAACAAATGTGGTCAATGGCCTCCACCGGCTGCAGACTGTGGCGAATGCCCTCTATCAGCCGCCTCATCGACAAGCACCAGATGCACTTTGTCACGGTGGACTATTGTGGGCGGCGGGTCGGTGGGTGGGTTGAGAGGTTGGTGTGTGTGTGTGTGTGGGTGCGTCCACAATCCCTTCAATCGACCCCTTGCCCGGAGCCTCCAACTCAGACCCGTGGAATAAAAGTTGAAAGTAAATCCGAAACTCCATAATCACTAGACTTGGTGTAGGCAGGTTCCCAGGAGCCTCACAAGGCCGACCAACCCAGACCCAATGCAGCCTAAACCCTAAAATATCCCATTGAATCGCAAACCTGCTCTCGAACCTAATGCCTAAAGCCCATGATGCCCGACCAACCGAGGAATAACATAAATCATACATACTAAACACCAGAATAATCCCTTCACTGGCCCGGTAACGACTCCGAAAAGTCCAAGGCTGCAGGCATGACTTCGTATGTCAAAGGCCTTCTGATGAGGACCTGGTGGGAAACCTGTCAGGAGGCAGGGGACCCCGAGCCCAAGCGAACGGAGGCAACGACCGTACAGCGGCCAAGCTTGCAAGTCCTGACTTGGGACGGCATGAAGGCAGTCGTTCCCGACATGGTGAAAGACAGATTCAAGGATGCGGAAGAGGACGTGCTCAGCAAGTGGACGGTCTTCTGCAAGACAGTTCAGGACAGCACTACATCTAAGCTTAAGGTTTGCAATCATACAGCCCCTGCAGCTTAATGTGCTAACTTACTGTGGGATACAAGTTGGGGTGCAGGTCGGGCGTAGGGTTATCCAAACCAAGCGTTGCGACTGTAGGCCCCAGACGTAGACCCTACTATAGTTTACCCCTTCAAAAGCTCTTTAAACCCTAGAGGATAAGTCTAGCCTACCCTAGACCCGTGCCCAGACGTGAAAGCACATCGTCCGCCAAGCCACACGATTCGGAGCTGTCATGCGTCACCATGCCAGGCGGAGCCTGCATTTGGTTCTTTGACCACAAGAGACTGCCCCGAATAGCCTATGAAACTTGAACGACGACCCACGATCTGAAACAGCAATCCAAGCCGATCCTCAATCAAACGAAACTTGCCCTTACTCTAGATGCGAAGATTCCGGCCCCGTATCCAAGTATGTAATATGTCTTCTACTACTGACCGCTACCCCCAAAAAAAACACCGCACCAGGATAGCCTCGGCAGCCTGGGCTCGCTCACATCCGTCGCAGCCGCCTCCGACGCTAAGAACGGGCGCGTTGGGGTCAAGTTCACAGGGCCGGAAGCCCATCCATCGGAAGGGTTTGATGGGATCGATTTGACAAGGGACTTGAACGAGATCTTGGAGGAGTTCGACCGTTCAGACGTGGACATGTCGAAAGTGCTTCTTGTCTCC